GAATTTTCCTGCCCTGGGCACTGCTCCCCGCCACATCCCACTGCCTCCAGGAGGAGCCCTGAGACACAAGTGAGGGACAGGATCTGCCTTGGCAAGGCCTGGGGGTGAGGGCTTGGCCTTTCTGCTTCCTCAAAGGCAGGGGTTCCTCAGCATTACAACCACCTGCACTCTGCCTTTGCCTACTGCAATCACAGCCTCCAACTATCTGCTCTAACGATTCCCTGGGGAGCCTTTGTCAGGAACTGCCCTCAGTGAGGCTCATTAACGCTTCCAGGAAGTTTGAGGTTTGCTTCTGATTTCTTGAGCACTTTCTTTGATCTTCTCTCAGTATCTGAGGCTCATGGACTCAGCAGCAAATACCCCATGGGGCCCGTTAAAAGACTGAAAACCTTAACAAGGAATTCATCTCTTTGTCATTTCCTTCAAGCCTTGTCCAGCTAATTGGGGAGGTTTTGTGGTGTAGTTAAGGAGGAACATTTCAAATTGCATCTAATGAAAATGGCTTCTTGATTGTAAAAGATATATGTGATTAGTGTTCAGTATAAAGAGGAGGTGATAGCAGCATTCTCCAAGGGATATTGAGGCAAGGTGTCTCCCTCAGGAGGTCTGGACAGGTCAGGAAAAACAGTGCCTCGATGTCCATCACTGTAGGGACAGCTTTGCTCCTCACCTCCCCAACCCCACCAGGTCTGACCTTGCCCACCTGGGACTTCCATCACTGCCCTTGCCTCAGACTTCTCCACTCAAGCCTGGAGGTGACAGCTCCATTGCACCATCTCCCACCTGGTCTCCTCAGAGACCTGGCTGCTCACAGCCACAGGGGAGTTCTTCCTCCCCCTCTAAAAGAAAAGTAAAGTACAATCATTTTTCATAAGAAATAAACCACTGTGTAATGATATGCAAAGTACGAGCTACCTCTCATGAGGTTTGTTTTCTACAAGGGATAATCTTAGAACAAATCTTTGAGGGAGGTAGATACAAAAAAAAAAAAAATATATAAACATAATTAAAGAGCTGGCTAAGGAGATAATTAGATTTCTGAAGGACAGGCAAGGTTTGACTCCCTGAAGGTGAAAGCAGCAGCAGAGGTGAGAGGTATCTGAATGAACAAAGAGTAAGAGGAGGAGAAAACCAGATGATAATGGAAAGGGCCTTTTCCCAGACAGTCTGCATCTGAAAAGATGACTTTGCAAATGATCATTGTATCAAGATAAATGTAAGTGTAGGAAAGATCAGAGAAACACATACACCATGTAATGGACAAAATAGTTGTAGTCAAGTCACAAGGGAAGACTGAGATTTCTTTGGAATGTCACCTTTGGGAGGTGACAGGATTGGCAGAGCTCTCTTGTGATGGAGGAAAAGGCAATGTTGCCCCCACCTTGGAAAGAGGCCCAGCCCAGGGACCCCCAGGCTGTACAAGCTCCCTGGGGTGATTAGTGTGCCATTAATGAGAGTCCTCTTGGCTGAAATTTCTGGGCCCTGGAAAGAGAAGAATGTGTCCAAAAGCAGTCATCATGGACTTGCCAAGGGTAAATCATGCCTGAATAAGGAAGTGGTGACAGCAGGGAAAGCTCCCGCGTTTCCTGTGTCCATGGCAGTCAGTCAGATGTTGGTAGAGTCAGATGTGCTGCAGCTTTCTTGTCCTGTTCCAGGCAGGATTGCTCAGATGCAGAGCTACTTGAAGGGTATCCCCAAACAGCCCTGATCATTTCCTTTGCTGAACCTTTCATTCCCATTTCACTATTTTTCCTCCTCTCAAGTCCTACTCTTGAACCAACTTTATCCTCTCCCTGGCACAAGTCAACCCCTCTTCACCATTTCCTCACTGGCGCTGCGTTTCCTCACTTTGCTCCCACCTTTGTTGTGTCTGAGAAGGTATCACAGGGCTTTGTACCTTGATTAGCAACTCCATTACACTAGGACTCTCTTCTTATCTGACCTGTCCTACAGCTGCCTAAATGATGGTCTTCCGAAAGGCCCTATGACTCAGGATGAACATCAGCACATGGACTTTAAGTGCTTGACTGCTGGAGCTTATGTCCAGAGGGACCTTGACACACCTGGGGATTTGGCCAACAGGAACCTGAAGGTTTAGAAGAAAGAGGTGTACAGTGACTCCATGCAGCAGCGCGGGCAGTGACCACACCAGCTGAGGAGTGCCCTGAGGAGAAAGGCCTTCGAGTCATGATGGCTTCCCCATGAGCCAGTGGCCTTTGCATTTCAAAAGGAAAATGGAGAGACTGGAGATTGTCCAGAGGAGACCTGACAGATGGTGCGGTCCCTAAAGCCTGAGATGTGAGGAGAGTCTGAAGCGAAGTGCACTTCTCTAGCCTGTTGAAGGGGAGCTATGGGGTGACATATGTAAGAGCCTGTAACCAGATGGAGAGGGGACAGAGCCAAGCTCTCTTCTGCAGTGGCCATAGATATGACAGAGACAAGAGCCACAAAGTGCCTCTTGGGAGCTTTAAGCCGAGCATTAACAAAAGTAAACTGGACTGGAAGGAGCATTGCTGTGATGTCCACCTGTCCTGGTTCTAGAAGAGATAGGGTTAATTGTCCCCAGGCTCTGGCAGGGACACAGCTGTTCCATCCCAGGTGGGCCATGGCCAGTCGGTAGCCAGTAGCTGGCCAGGGGAGGGGGCAGGAAGTCACCCCTTGGGAGCAGGATGGAGAGGCCCAGGTCAGTGGGTGAGCGGTGGTACCGTAATGGTGTTTGTACCTCCCTCTGTCAGTGGTATGGCTGTTGTTTTCCTGTGCCCTTTGCTGTTCTGTTAAACTACCTTTGTCTCAACCCATGAGTTTTGCCTTTTTCTTCCAATTCTCCCCACAGCAGTTTTGGCTTGAGAGAGCAGCCGAGTGGTTCTTTGTTGCTGTCTGAGGCTCAACCACCACAGTCTCTTTTGGTGCCGAACATGGGGCACAAAGGGTTGAGATGATGACAGGTCTGACCAAAGTGTTCTAAAAGGAATATGTGATATGCATTTCTTACATTAGTTAAATATTCGCTAGTCACCATGTTGTTCGGTCATTCTCACAGCTGTGTACACCCCACGATGATGTTTATCAATCACCTCTGGGAGAGGGATCAGGATCATCATGTTGCTGTCCTCTATGATACCAACTTACGATATGCCTCCAGCCCGAGGTCTGGGCGCAACTTTTCCGGCAAGACAAGCGTCTCCTCAACCCCGTGCTGCCCTGGCTGCGCCAGCGTCTGGAGGCAATCTTTGGGGAGCAGTGGTGGCTGGCAACAGGAAGAGAAGCCCTGCTCTTGCAGGCCCTGTGCTTATGGGGGCTGGACGAGGAGGCCATGGTTGAGCAACTGCAGCCTGGCCTTGAGGAACATACAGCATCCCTGGTCCATGACCTCATCGACGTTGTCATGCGTCGGTGCAGCCATGAGGCCTTGAGGATGCTGCAGTCCTTCACTGCCGGCCAAGAGGAGGAGGAGGATGGACATGCAGCCAACTCCAACTCCACCACCTCCAGCAGCTCCAGCTCCACCACCTCCAGCAGCTCCAGCTCCACCACCTCCAGCAGCTCCAGCTCCAGCAGCTCCAGCAGCTCCCGAGAGGAGACTCCAGACTCCCACCCAGCCTCCTCCAGCAGCCCTGAAGACTCTGATGTGGAAGAGCACCCCAGCACGTTGGAGGCCGCTCTGCAGAGGGGTCCCAGCCGCCCTCGGTCTGTGCCTGTCCCTGTGGAGCAGGAGCAGCCCCAGGAAGAGCCGGAGGAGGCGGTGGCAGGTCCCTCTGCCCAGGGCCGCAGCTCCAGACCCTCCGCTCCCAGCCGGGGTAGGGACTGCTCACCCAGGGGCCCCCGGCGGCCCCCAAAAAGAAGGGCCTCCAGCCCTCAGGACTCTCCTCAGCCCCCCAAGAGGCCGCCCCGCCGGCGGCATTAGCCGGGCTCCAGCGGCCCCTCCGTCCAGTCAAATACAATAAAATGTCATTACCTGCATGGTTGAG